ATAAATGTATATATTTCCGTATAAACCTCACCTTCTCTTTACTAACTCTTCATCACAGACAGTGACTAAAAGTGAGCATAAGGAAATCCATGAGGTAGTCCCCTCACTCTTAGCAATTAAAACTTATGATCATATTGTTTATCGGAAGCTTTTGATCAACTCTCAGGATGGCTGTTGGCCCTCGCGTGTCCAAGGAGGATTTTATGCATGCCTTGGGCCTCGATGCGAATAACCCTCAACATGAGCCTTATTATCGAGCAATGAGAGTAAGTTTTCCACGAAATGTCGGAGGATTTTCCATGCCTAGGAGGTCTTTTAGGGGCGCACGGTGGTGTAGCCTCAGGAATATTCTGGGAATGGTATCTTTTATTAACCAGCAAGCTTTAGGATGAAGCCATTGTTGTGTACAATCAATTAAATCAGGATAGTTCAAACCTCGTTGAAAACCTGAGGAACGACCCTTCGATCCGACCACCGTATTTCTGGCACCATATCCGACAAGAGAGGCAGCGATGGGGTATTCTAGAAATATGGCGAAACTCTAGACCGGTCACACGGGCATGGTTTGATCGCGGCATTACGGACGGCGAATATGGCCCCAACTGGGTAACAGGATGGCTGTTGTACAGCGTGTTCCGCTCTCGAGACTTTCGCAATAATCGTAATCGTCGGAAAGGTGAAGATTCAGGGTCTGGGAATTCAGGTAGTACCAATACCCGTCCGTCGCCATGTTGACATATTGTTTCCCACGACCAGACGCTGATAGATCATTCTTGTTAATAGGCCAGGGCCAACCGAAGAATGATCAAAGCCCTACCAGCGGCACCGAAAGACAAAATGGTGGATATTATGACCCTGTCCGGAATGGCACCCACTAAAGTGCCGCCCTTAAATTGTATACGGTTCGACTTCCTATGATTTTTTGCTGGACAACATATCACAGCTGTCCGGTTGCAACATGGGTTTTATTTTATAACTCTGCTGCCTTAGTATTTTTCCTAAATCATTGCCCGGATGCCTATTTATTTCCTTCGTTAGCCATCGTTTCCGATTCTCCGAACGACTCTTTTCCTTCCCCCTTATCGGTGGACTGGCCGAGCCAGTCATATTGGGCGGTAGAGGTTTAATTAGTATATTAAGGCGTTCTCTTTCCTGTTTTCCTCCTTTGGACGTTGAAATAATCTTCGAGTTGGTGCTATCAATCATTTTTCGTTTCCTTCGCTTCAATCTTGCCTACAGCGTAGAGGTGGTGGCATATAGATGGAACGGACTAGGTGCGTTAAACCGCTTAGTTAAGCCCTTAAGCTTTTCATTAGTTAGTTAGCTAACAACCGGTCTGATTTCTTTAGCTTTTGGTAGGAAGCTCCCAAGTTTCGCCTGTTGGCGGGTGCTCTTTCGATGACGAGGTAGTTGACGAGCAAACGGTGATATGACTTCCAAGAAGAGTATATCAATATCGACCGTCTCTTTAAGCCGGCCAATTGTCCGGGATGAAGAAGTGACTTCAACTTCCTGGTTGAGTCACGCATCTTCTAGAATTTCTAAATATGAGCGAGGTGAGGTAATTGTTCGACCTATCAAAGAGCGCTCTACCCGGTGGTCATCCAATGAAGGATTTTCGACTCCTTTACCGGTGCTGGTTGAATAACGTGACTCTGCCCTGGTTTTGTTGCGGCAACAATCTGTTATGTATCTCTTGCATTTGTCGACATTTGGGATTATTCTTGTAGCGTCTCTGCTCTCGTTGGCGTTTGAATTCCCCCCCGGGCAAACGAAGACTAGAGGATGCTCTTTGCCTTTACTTGGCAATGTATGATGACGCGAAAATGAAAAGCAGAGTGTGTTGTTTCCTTAGTATTTAGACCATTTATTAGTTCTAATCAACTGGAAAGTCCCAGAAATACTTACATCGTTACTTGTACTTGATATTTCGCCCCTTCCCATTCCACTCCATTTCAAGCTCCCGCGTAGGTGATGTGGCATGGAGATTCATGAAATTTACTTGCTGAGACAGTAGCAGTATCGTGGCATCGAGCGAGAAGAGGATAATGTATCACCGTTCTGCCATTACTACCTCGTCACCCTAAGTCAGTCCATTCATAGAGCCCATTTGATCGAAGTCAAGCCCTGACATATTGATTGGCTAGGACATCCCCGGTTGGTGGCTTGGGAGAAAGCCATGAATGACGTCGGTTGCTGGAGGGAACAAAGATAATCATAAGATCTTTGAATTGCAGAGAAAGAATATCTCATAGATATCCATTGAAATATCGGCCAATATCAATCAGGAACTGATATTTTGGTATACAGATCTGGATGATGAAGTTTTCACTGGTGTTCGTGCTCGAGGAGGGAAGGGCCAACAGTAGCGATTTATAGTTAACTAATTACTTAAGTTATAGTTAGTTGGGTTAACTAACTTAACTAACTAACTAGTGAAGAGAGTGACACTAGGTAGAACCGAGAATCGAGGTTGAAAATTATAAGTGACAGTGAGTTGTTTCTTCCCCTGTCAGCTTTACCGCCAATACAGCTCAAGGAAAAGAATAAAATCCCACTGAGGCCGATATTGGTGACCGTTATTTTGTAGCCGAAATATAAAGGATTCCTCTGACGCGATGAAGATCTATCTGCATGGCCCCGGAAAGCTCTCTGTTGAATGTCTTCGTTTTGTCAGAAGATATTCGAGTTGCTCTCTTCACCTTCACATCTCGTTTGACATCTCTATCATCATATCCCTCGGGGGGAGCCGTGACATACCTGAAGCTAGTTCATGTTTCATACCTACTATACCCAGGGAATGGAGGATGTACACATTGAGGTGCACTAGAGGGTATCTCACAAGGAGATCTTTATCCTTGATCAAAGCCCAAAAATGTAATTAGGAATACTAGACCGACCCATTCATTCAATTATCCTCGTTGAACTGAGGCCAAGGGGTAGCAGTGAGTTCAGGCCGTTACAAAAAGCCCTGGCGGAGCTGCCAGCGTGCCGGCAGATCAGCTTAAAATAGTAGTGGAAAAAATATATCGTTCTTTTTCACCACATGTTCCCAGATTCCAAGGCTCTATGTCGGGACATGAAGATATTCATGAGAGGTCATTTGCTAGCTCCTATTACGTGTTGAAACCACTAGTTACTCACACGCCTCTACGGAGTAGTAGAGAAACCAAGAGCCAGTCATTGAATCATGAGAAACACCGAACTTATTCTTTCTTCCTATTCTAAAATACTCCAAGCTTACTATCACTATCATGGGTGTTGTTAAAGTTCAGCCCCTAAATTGCCCATAAATCCCCCTGAGCAGGAGATCAGGCTCAATCAGGAAGGAAAATTATATGATAGCGGAGAAAGAGACAGGGAGAAAAACAAAAAGAAGGGTAGGGGTGTTTTCTACTCCTGGACGTTCGGCCGATGCACTTCAACAAGAAGTCGAAATTAGAGGCATCATAAGAATGATTATAAAATGGTAAAAATGAAAGGGAAAAAAAGAATGAAAAAAAATTGAAATGGAAATCACTCGAACACAAAAAAAGGATGCTTGTTTCCTAGAAAACAATAGACTGGCAAATTCCACCCTAAGTAAGCCCTCTCAGTGAACAGAGAGGTAATGTAATAGTTTTGTTTGTCATAAGCGAAATAAATAATGGAAAAGAGACAGATGAGCTGTTGAATCGAGTAAATGGAGGTCACTGTGAAAACCTAAAGGATTTCAAATTCACGGAGATTCCTTCCACCACACTTCCCCCTTTCTCTTCTCGTCGCCGAGTAATAGCTCTCCTTAGAAATCGGCCCTGCCACTGCCTGTCTGCCAAAATCAAAGAGCAACTGAGGTTCTGGCCCGTTGGGTTGCAAAAACATATACCCGGACATAAGTTCATGTGAGGGAAAAAAAAAAAACATTATAAACGGTAAATAAAGCAGACAGGAGAGGTACATAAACAAGGTAGCCGACTGGGGGAGTGATATTCCATTGCTGTTGTACAGTACAGCTTCAGTGAAGATATATATGAGAATATCAAAAGGGAAATGCAAAACGGATCTATGGGAAATCGTCTCATGTCGTTATTTTTCGTGGCCGTTATATTCGTATCATCATGGATATATCGCAGTGGCGATTGTAGGCAGTCCTGTATTTACCTGCCCAAAACCTCATCCCTTAAAATCATTTGTTTGAAAAACATCGCAGTCGTAAAATCGTTAAGCTCTTTGTCGGCCGATTCTTTTCTTTTCTTTTTCTGTCCCTTCTTCTTTTCCCCCTGCTTTTTGTTTTCTTGTCGAAGAAATTTTGGAGGGAAAGCGGTTTCAGCTGCACAACGGCGGCTGTTTTATCTTTCTTTCTTTTTTTTCCATGGTTAGGCTCCCTTTTTATTGGCGAATCGCGATACTCGTCAAGGGCTGTGCCCGAAAAGTAGACCTCGCTCCACTGGGATCGATAAGGCCGGAAACAAATTCAAAGTCCCCGCTGGCCGTATGCTAGTGTTCTCGTTGGACCAGCAGGCCGGCGATCACGGCCCAGTCGTCCTCCCTCGTGGCTCTCAGGACTGCTACCCCCACTCCGACTTCCACTACTGGTGGACGTATCCGTGTCATCGCCAAACCGACCACGTCGTCCTGTGCCAATCGCAACCGGAATCCCTTGCACAATCCCTCCATGGTCGTGACCTGCAGGATACATCCCATCGTTGACGGAGAAATTCCGACAGATCAGATAGGCGCGCATAGCTGCGCTTTCTCTGGCCAGCGCTTCCGTTTCGCAATAGACGTCCGTCTGGTATTCGCGATTATTGACGCGCACAATGCAGCCATACCCGGCAGCACATGGATATGATTCGTAAAAGGGTTCCGGCCAGCGACGGCGGCGGCAAAGACCTGCAGACAGAAAAAACATGTTATTGGCTGTGCAACGTTATATGTTTGCCTGACGTAGGGAATTTCTGCCTGACGCCCTCCATTTTCATTTATTATTTTTTTTAAACAATAAGAAAACAATCAGCCAACAACGATGAGCTTTTGATAGCCGCGGATGCTCAGGGTTTAAAAAAAAACTCCGGGGTATAAAAGCTTATTAGGCCCAGTTGATCCCGGATTAATGGTGAAGGGGAAGGGGAAGAGACAGCAAGTTTTCTTGTGGGTTGGTTCCCAGTTAACCGCTGGAATAAAAAAGCAGGCACCTTGACCAAAAGAAAAAGAAAATCACAGCATCGTTAAGTTATCTGCGGGGCAGGCATGACGACTCATGAAAAAGCAATTGATATGCTGGGCTGGTTTTGTTTTCTTTTCCATTTTCGCTCAAGCTTCCACAATCTCTCCTAGGATATTTAGGGCAACATACTCGCAAGGTACAGAATGTAGTACATTTCGATGGTGAAAATCCCGACGGAATATCGAACTTGATACCCGACGATTAAGGCTGGAGGTGCCCAAGTGAGGTCGTTGAATTGGCAGTATGAACCTAAGGAGGATGAAGAAGCTTGATGCCCAGCAGCGCCACCAGTATACAACCGCCTTAAGATCCTTTAAGTGTGCTGGACAAACAGGTTGTTGGCAGATTGGCAAATAAACCGGGAGGTACCTATGGATTAATAAAAGAATAGCGGGTAAAGGCTCTAAAATATGCGATACAAAAAATAAAAATAAAAAAGGTTGCTCTGGCCGATACGTCTAATGAGAAAACAAGCCATTGTAGACAGCGAAGCAAGCGTGATTTAATGTAGCGTAAAATATATGGGTGGGGCTAGAAATAGGTATTAACCCTGGCAATCAAGGTTTAACTCAATCGAGGGATTTGAAATGACCGGATAGAAAAGGGGGATGCTGTGGGAAAGGAAATTATCGCTCTCTACCTGAGTTTTTTTTGATTATTCCTGCCTTGATGTGTTGGCATGGCTTTCTGCCAGTGACGGATAATGGGGAAGCTCGAGAACTTCATTGTTGAGCCTATCAAGATTTAATTCGGCGTCGATCTAAGCGACGAGGATTGGCTCGTCCGGCTCAGACAAGACACTCGAACAGCTGTACCGTAGGCCCACCAGTGCTGCCAAAGCCAGATTGTGCGCAACGTTTGGTCTTACGAGGCGTCTCCCTCAAAGCACAGCCAGAAAATGGTACAGACCCCGCAGAGCAGGAGCAGAATCACCCTCTCTCGGCGTGCTGGAACACTACCAACTTCCGCTAATGTATTTTATATTCGCAATGGTTGGATTCGCGATGCCCAAGACGCGCTGAATTTGAAGTAGAATCCTGGCGCGAAACGCATGATGCCAGAATTGTCTGCAGTAAATTAATAGTTGCCTTTTCTCGGGAAGCTCCAGCCCCACAAACTCTCATCTGCCTCCATTCATCGACCCTTGTTCTTTCGCTAGTCCTTATAAGGGAGCAGGGGGTTATGCCACAAGTTTTGCATCAAGAATGACCGATTTGCCGGGTCATCATCAGAGTCGCACGTAATCCACTAATATGACAGTAGGACACGATAAACGAGGAACACTTCTGCTCAGAGTTCGGCTGAGTGGCAGTATAATCGACAAACCTGCGGCAACTAGGCAGCCTCCGAACTCAGCGGAATATTGATACGAAATGGATCCAAAACGCAGTGTTTGGGCAAAGGAACTGGCGCTGCCGGTGCGTTGTCGTTCGACTAGTGACAGGCATTGAGGATGCAATGATGAGTTGGCAATCGATGGCTCCTCACCAGTGGGGAAGACGCTGCATCATGTTCCAGAAATGGACGACGCAGACCACGAGGGTCCAGCATGTACATGTACTTTGCCGCTTTTAAATACGAATAAATATTTCTCGCAGAGAGACCCTTAAAAATGGGTGAAATCATAGGATAGTAATGATCGAAGATCTCCTTTTCCAGAAAGTCATAACTCCCTATGGGCATGTAAGTAATCGTTCAACGAAAAAAGACGTTGAAGTCCGCATAAATCACCTACCAAGGATAAACGAAAACTAACGCCTGCGCCTATGCACATTTATGTGTGGCTTTCGGCGAATCAAGTGCGCCCTTAGTTCAACTGCCCAGGAAGCATGATAAAAGGTTAAATGTTCCACCCATATTATTCCGCAAACCGTTTCGTTCCCGACATTTTGTTCGTAACAGTCGACGGCAGCATCATTGGACAGGGTATTGGGGAAGAAACAGGATAATCCTGGCGTCTTCTCGTAATCCCAAGATTGACTCCTCCTAGCCAAGGGGAGAGGATGATTCGCTATGCTAATGAATGCTTCCCGTGCTTGCAGGAGGCGATATAATCGTGCAGATCCACAATGCGACCTGAAGAAATAAAACACACTCTCATTCTTGCCGTCTTACTCTCGCGCAGGTTCGTTCATTTTCACGTCACGACCTGAAGAAGCGTCTCAGGAATCAGAGGCGAGCTGGCCCATCTGGAATCAGAGGTCATATAACCCCCTCGCTGGATACGGCTTGCAGCTGCAGTCAGGACAAACTAGTGATACAAGAAGAAAGAAAGGGGTGCTGTTTAGCTCAGCCCTCAACGCTTCTTCTGGATGTAACATTCCTATGGCGTCAATATGATCAAACCATGCCACCGAGACACAGGATATTCTCCTCAGAAGGAAGAGAGAGAGGCGAGGAGGTTGCTTTTGACTCTGGAAAACGTGACCAGTTACAGAAGGTTACAATGGACGCCAAGACATGGGATTCAGTTCATTTGGACTGTTTCCTCCAGTAGGAACATGAAGATTTGAGCGTTCCAGTACGCGAGATTGAAAAGACAACTAGCCTTGATCTTACGTTGTTCGTAGCCTTACTACCTTCTAGTTGTCTCAAGAACTTGCCTATGTAGTATATACAGGAAAAACAATCCTAACTTCTCCTACTGGATCTCTTGGATCCGAACTATATATCTTCGAAGCGGCACAAAGGTTGCCTTCCCATAATGTTCAGCCCAAAACACCATTGTGTCATGCCGATAAATGCGGACCTTTTTGATGTTCAAATTTGGAGAGGATACTTCTCACACCATTCCCGCATATTCTCCGCTGCACGATGCGGGATCACGAAGAGAGGATGGACCACTTCTAGTCGATCTCCTTCATCAAAAACGATAGTAGACTGGTCGTGTTCCGTTGAAGCGGTTACAGGTGCATGCGACCAGGAAAATGCGGACGGAAAAGGATTGTCGGGTCCTGTCACCGATGCAACGCCTGTATTGAAGTGGTGGTGCTGGGCGGTGCTTAATCCAGAGAGGATATAACAGGTATGGTAGGAATCGGGGTTTCTAAAAGAGGGAATCAGTTACGCCGATAAAAAAAGAAGAAGAAAAAAATTCCATAAACTATCCACAATTTTCTCCTGCACATAAGCGGATGATGCGCATACCCCACGGGCCGGAGAATGCACTTACTTGCCTGGTTTATCTCGTAGTCCGCCATGGGGCCCTTGACAACAATTGAGGATATATCGCGTCAATCCTTCGCGGTGGAAAAGACTGCCAGATCTTGAATATGACGGGGTGGATGTAGACTGGATGCCATTGACTGCGGCTTGGATCAAGGGCCAGCAACCGCCAACCCAGTGGCTGTAACATCCATCGACCAGTTTGTTAGTCCTTCCCGCGAACCCACCTTCAGGGGCACACTGTCTAGCTGAGAGCCATGATATCAAGAGCGGAAGATCCATATATCTGGAAAACGGGCTTAGCAATACCTCCGCAGTACATGAACAGGACTCATGACGCACCTATTGATCATCTCCTTAGGGTCGCCAAGAATGCATAGACATGCCAAAGCACAAAATGCATATGCACCGTGTGCTTCCGTCCCCGGACTTCCAGAAATGCCACCTTCGAAGGTTTGACCTAGACGAAATAATGATCAGCTCTACCTCCCAGGTGATGCCACATGTTCTTTCTTTTCTTCTTCTCTTACATCTAGACAAATATTCTGGCAGCCCGCTTATGAAGGTGTCTAGGCCAGCATGTCTAGCGGGCGAATCCGGAGGGAGTTGGAGCGGAAGATCCAGCAATGCAATTATCACCATCGCACAGTATGCACCTCTGCAGCCCGTTAGTGAATAATATTCGACTTCAAACGTGGTTCGGGAATCTTACCGTACATCCTCCTCACCGCCAAGGGTTACCTGAAAGCCACCATCTGCTTGCTTCAATTTCCCCAGCCATCGCCACCTTATCTATCAGATTAGGATCTTTCGGACAAAGGGGGAACAATTGACACAAAGCGGTATGCAAAGGCATACTAGGAAGACTCACATCGCTGTCCGATTGACTAGTTTAAATGCATCCTGCCCGCCCACCAGGGCTAGAGAAAGTATAAGTGCGTAAGAAGAAGCGCAATGCGACATCTGACCGTGCCCTCCGCCAAAACCCCCTGTAGGGTTTTGCATCGGGGCAGCAGTAGCTATGACTCTGGACGTTTAGAGTAGCAAGTTAGTGGGATGGTAACACGAGAAACCCAAATAAACTTTCAAAAATGTACTCGTCTCCCTTGCGCATCGAAGATCTGTCAGGTTTTGACAGCACCCCCCCCACACCATAAATGGTGGATATGGTATATCACACCAGGAAGGGAAAAAAATAAAAATAAAAAATCATAAATCAGACATAAACAACAATCAAAAAACCTACCGCTCCCGAAACTTCGTAACATCTTCTCCCAAAAAATGCAATCCCGCCAACGCCCAATAGACCATCCACGGACGACTTGAATCAAGCCCAACAAAACGCTCCGGATAAGACTCGAGCGAGTCATATAGGAACGAAACATGCTCGTCCCGGTCCAGCCTTGGCACACCAAATCGATTGAACGGGCCATTCTGCGAACTGGCCAGCCCCTTCAGGAACGGGAGACACTGGTCAACCGTGGCATCCTGCGTCTTCGAAGTCTCCGTAACCAACTGGTCGCGGATGAGGGGTAGCTGTGTGAATAGGTCCGGAATGCTCTTTTGATAGTGGGGTTGAGCGGGGAGGCTTGGTGGGGCAGCCATGTTATTCTTTTTCTTCTCCTTCTTCTTCTTCTTCTTTTTACTCCGCTTGTCGTGCGAATGAGGGTGCACTGGTGAGCTTGATGAAGGTTCCCCAATGGCAGTAGTAGCAGTGGTGGTAGTAGGAGTAGTGTGGGGGGATGAATCGGATTTCAACTGCGGTTGCTTGTGTCGTTGCTGTAAGGTGTTGTCCCTAGGAGTGCCGCTACGGCCATGCAACCTGCTTATGGTTGTTCTGAGGCGGGCGTGAGATGATGATGCCGATGATGATGCCGATGCTGTCCCTGGGGCAGATTCTTTGTTATATGGGGCGGTCGTGGGGAAGCGGACTGGACGGCGATATTTGCCTCTAATCATGTCCTGCTTGCGTAGGTTCGAGCCTCCATGTATGATGCTTTTTTATGCTTCAAGGAATGCGTCAATATATCCTTCGGCTCTTTGTTGCTTACATTGAGGGGGTTGTTATTCGTATTGTGCTGTTGAGAGTTCCTTTGTCTGCGAATGAATTGTTTTGTTCGCTGATATTACTAACTATTGTTTAGTCAACTTAAATATCTTAGAAAACCTTGATCCGTTCGCTGGCTCGCTCCTCTCTCCGCACACCACCACGAGAGTCTCGTCTCCCAACTAGTTTACCTTGGCCATCTGTGCAAGATGAAGGGTCCATTTCTATACTATGAAGCTGTGAGTATCTACAACGTTTAACAGTATCTATTTTATTCATTTTCCTTCTATGAGGATACACGCACAGCTTCGCCACATTGCAAAATCCTGCGCGGGTTCCATCTCTGTGGACACGTACATATTATTAACCTCGTCCCTTGAACATGAGTAGCAAAGGTAGGCGATAAGGATTTTTGTGCTCCGCGTTTGCTCCGTGTCCAATCTCCTCTCATTTTGCTTCCATTATACTCATCCCGCCATGCTCTTCTTCTCCACAATGAATTCTTCTATTTGAATCCGTACATGTCCCAACAGGCTGGTCGACTGTGCTCACAAGCGGGCGATAGACATTGTCCTTTTTCGTCAAACGGGGAGATATCTGGGAGAAAAAGGGAAAAAAGAAAAAAGAAAGAAAGAAAGAAAGAAAGAAAGAAAGAAAGAAACTTTGAGTACAGCTATGCAGCCCCTCCTCCATGCGTGAAAATTAAGACGAATTTCTGCGCTTTGAAACATGTTCTTCTCTCGAAAGGCCAAACAACCACACGAATGGCTCCTGCTGGCATCGGATAGCACAGCAAATATAAGACCACCCAAAGGCTGGGCGCATTTCTATGACCCGCGAGACGGCTGCGAGTGCCATTTCTATTGCACCCCATACAAAAATGATGTAGGCGGGATGCGCGACGGAACAGACTCCAGCCAAAAATGCCTCCATGTTGTGATGGGCTGAAGCTAATCGTGATCAATCGGTAAAACATCATGCTGTGGCAGTGCTCTGGTTGGATTAGATTTTTTTTTTATCCTATACAAGTCGTCCGGGACTGGCTCAACAAAATGAAAGGAGGAGAAGAAAAAAAAGGAGAAGAGGAAGAGGAGATGCGGAGTTTATTCTAAAAGGAACAATTGCAGGATATGAGGATATGGGAGATCTATTCCTTTCTCTCTCTCCTTGTAAATTATGTTTTGGTTCGAAAGGAGTGAGTAGTCATAGGTGGTAGGTACGTCTAAGAAAGAATTTCCGAGTACATTTACCGCAAACCAAATATCCTCCGTCTAGAGAGACGCAAAACATTTTCCGCATACCGTATCCGGTATCAACAGAGGCCACTGCAAGAGTTTGAACGATTCAGCACGGGAGAAGAAGCACATTGGTTTTTCTCCCCCCTCCCTTTCTCCCCCAGACTCAAGAACATGACCTCCAAGGAAGGAGAGAATCGATATGAGAGAGGGGAATGCCACCTCCCTGAGCTAAGTCCGTATAGGATTTTTTTTCTCACTAATCAATAGTGGATTTCCCTTTCCGAGCTTAACGCATATCATCCCATATCATTCCTAGCCAGGCCAGGCCAGGCCAGGCCAGGACATGTCGTACCATGATGGCGCGTCGATTCTGCGGTGATGATGGATCGTTTCTAGATTCTATTTTCAGTCCTACCGCCTCTTCAATCAACCTCTAGCGGTCAATTTTGACGGAAACGTATCCCAATTACACGTCGGGAATTGGTGAGTGCCTTGCGAGGGGCGAGGGGAAAGGAAGAAAGAAACGGGGGGACAAAAGTATATGCAGATTCACCGTATGTTTATTAACCCTCCGGGATGGCCGAGGAGCGGTGTCTTTCCGACCCATAAAAAAAAATTAAAAAATAAAAAATATCGAAGGTAAAACTTGCGGGGACTTTTATTTTATTTTATTTTATTTATTTTGAAATGAAACAGGCGATCTCCAGGGCCCCTCTCCCCTCACTCAATGGATGGATATGTGGTATGCTAACTGAAAGCCCAGTAGACAGATAGGTAGACAGGTAGACAGGTAGACAGGGGCCTTCCCTGACCGCTTCCAATCACCCCATCCGCTCCGCGGTGTCTGCATAGTTTTTGTCCAGCCTTCCCACTCGGCCCTTTGGACCCTGGTATCTATCGTATCTATCATCAATCTCTGTTTTTCGTTTTCTGTGTAGTGGAGAAGAAAGGGGGCGGGGCGGCTTATGGGATGATGATGGAGTCCCGCCGAATCTCTCCATCGACGTTCAGATCATGGATCATGGATCGGGATCTGTGGTTGCTAGAAAGTTTCCAGCTCTGGTTTCGAAATATTATTTTAGTCATTGCCAGTCAAATCGATCAGATCGGAGCGGTCGATGGAGCGGGGGGCACCCCCTCTCCCCCAAGCTTAACTCTCCTGGCGGTATGAGTATGAGTGGATTTGGAGAAAGGTTAGGTAACGCGGGAACGAGGAGAGGAATGGAAAGGAGCAATGACAGGGAGAGAAAGGAGAAAGGAGAAAGGCAAGAAATTAAAAAGCGCACTTGAGAGGATCCCGCCTGGCCGCTTGCCGACGATACTGCAAAGAGAAAGAAAAAGTCACATTCTCCCCAATTAATAAGACACAGAATGGCGGTATAGAGCGCATATATCATATTCCCCGCCCACCCCAGGCAACCAGGTGGAGCATATGCAGTACGCTGCGTATGCATTTCTTGCATAGTATGTATTCCCGGCTCAAAAGAAAAAAATTCTCCATATCCTCCTTGATGCGGGTTGCCCCATGCACGCAATCTTTAACCTTATTTTGACAAGTACATACCAGCCTCCCTCAAATATTTTCAGGTCTCCTTTTTTTAAAAAAAATAAAAAAAGTCTCATACACTCTATTAGAGCGCAGCGCACTGCCAGTAGCTCTTGGTTTGGGTGGGCATCCATTCTGGGTATAGAGCATATATTTGCACAGCAATTGAACGGTGAGAAGTTATTTTTCCTTTGATCCTGCGGGATCAATGATGCCTTTTTTTTTCTCTCTCTCTCTCTTTTCCCTCTGCTTGGCTCAGGATCAAGGGAGCTCGTTTGCAAGCGAGCATGCAATGATGCAATGATATAATGATGCATTGGCACAATGCGCTATATACAGTCGGAGCTGCACGTACGTGGCGCAGATCCACGATCAGGGAGGCAGATATGGTAATTCCGAGCGTGGTTGAGGGAAATAGGGGGGCAGGAAATGGTTAAAGTAAAAATAAATAAATAATAAAGTAAAGTCAAGTAAAATACAAGACCAATAAAAGAATAATGACAGCAAGAGGACATATTCTGCGTCGAGAAACAAAAAGGCGCAGCCATACAACCAACGCGGGCATTTCCGTTTTCGGCAATCCCCTCCTCCCTGCCCTGCCAGGTGTCCACAGGTCTCCCAAAGTTTCCATTTCTGGAAAGCAGGCGGGTTCAATGGGTTACCAAAATTCCAACTACATCGAGGGCGGTCTGGGAGGAGGAGAATTACTGAGGCGCCAGGCGAGTATTTCCAGTATGGAAAGGGGATAGATAGTAGATGATTGCTCAAGCGGTGATGGGATTAAAGAATAAAAATTGGAAGGTAGGGAGGGAGAAGATATGACGACCATGGTACAAGTTCATGTATAACTTACCTCAGAATAATGCCATACTCGTCTGATGTTGACTTGAAAAAATATAATCAGGCCTGACAGTCCATAACATATCCATGCTTGTATGCCATCACTGGATGATGTCAAGCCCTTTGGGGAATAATATAATGGAAATAAACGCGATGGATCACACGGACTTTGCCCCTTCAGCGCTGCAGACCAAGGAGTGAGTGATAAGGCCAGATTGGGATATTTTCCCTCGCGACACACCGTAAAGGGGAGAATGATTGGTGCTGGTAGCTGACCGGTCGGGGGGGGGGAGAGCAAAACGTGAAACTGATGCATGCAACAGCTACAAATATGGCTATGGATGGAATAATATGTTGACTTACATTGTAATGTAGGCTGCATAAAAGAAACAAGGTACATATAATAGAAAAGGGAACCTTGTGATGCTGTGTATGGTCATAACCAATAAATAAAATATCTTAATGCACACGAGCCTCTGTGTACAAAGACATTGCAGAGCTAAGCTCAAAACAGAAGACTCTGCAAGATTGATTTTACAGCTTATTAATAAAAGAGATAGAACTGTAACTACAGTGAAAGCATATCTCTAAAGATGAAATAAGATTGACTTGAGAATGAGTTGAATGATGATACAGATGATTGATGAAAGACTGAAGAGAGATCTGTAGAACTGAGAGATGAATTAATTATTAAAGATAATGACTGCAGCTGTTTTCTTAATTGAGTTAAAAATGAAGTTAATAAGAGATATTCTCTATAACATCTGATAATATAGTAAGCTCTTTGAATAATAGTTTTCTTTTTATAGACTGCTGTTAATGAAGATATATCAGAACTATAAATCTCACAGTAATAAAACTTAATCTCAGATAATATATCTATTTCAATAGACTGTTTACAGACTGTAAGAAATCTCACTTCTTGCAGATTCTTTATCTCTATTTTCTATCTCTTATATAATTAATAGAGTTAGCAGCTCTTGATTATATACAACTATATAGACTGAAGTTCATGAATACTATTTATAACTCAGCTTGAATACTATTATATATTTAACTTCTATATTTTATCTTTCTACTGTGAATACTTCTGATAGTTAATAGTATATATTATATCAAGCTATAAACATCTGAATAATCATCTGTAAGCACTTATTCTTACACAGATTTAAAAGACTGCTATTAATTATATAAAGTATTAATATATTTAGAATGATAGAGAGAGTTCAGACTCATTTATCACAGAATCTATAACTGTAGAAGAATCTGATTTTACTGTATATATTTATTTACAGTTCTACACAGTGTAAAGATATAATCAGTGATAGAAAAGATGTAATAAGTAGACTAACTATGTGACTGTGTCTGAGATCAGAATCAGATTTTTTAATAGTTTTATTATTAATTTAACTAATCTTATTACACAGTTTTAATATTAGATAGTAGTCTTATACTGTCTCAGTGAAACTTACTATCTACTCTTATTACATTTTTCAAATGAGATCATGATTTTCACTTCTCAATTTAAATTATTTTTATTACTTTAAATGACTTTAAATCTTATTTAAGTGTTATTAAAAAGTGTTACTTTTTAAAAAATTAAAAATAGTCTAAAAAAATCTTAAAATGTCTAAAAATAGTAACTTTATATTAAGAATGAAACTAAATGAGATCAAATGAGATTACTTTCTTATTTTTTTCAAGTCATGATTTCATTTTAAGATCTGATATATAGTCACTTTACATGTTTTTTTAATGACTAGTCTTAGCAGAATTCATGTCAAGAAATGTATGAAATCAGATCAAATGAAATCAAATGTGAAATTCATAGTCCCGGCAGCCAGTCTAGTAATAAGAGAAGATTATAATATCTGAGTTCTCTGAGTGTAGTATTGAAGACAGACAGCTGTAGAAGTAGTAGAATACTGTAAAGAAATGAATTAATTAAGAGACTGATTTTATAAGCAGTGAACACAGGCTTTTGATGTATTATTCATTCTTGAGAATCTATGAGAGATGATTGATCAGATGCATTATCTATTCAAGAATCTGTACAGAGTAGATTGTTGATCAGATGTGTTATCTATTCAAGGATCTGTATGAAGTAGATGGTATGGTAGTGCAATGTCACGGGATTGCGCTTCACTTAATTCTACACCAATCAGTGGGCTGTATTCGCGCCAAGAACCTCAAAAAGGAAATTCTCCACTTTTAATGACCAGGGTTTTCATCATATATTTGCTTCGCTTCGCTCCGCAAATTATGGCACTTTTCCAGGACAGACTTGTCCTCGGAGGAGCCTCACGGAAGTCCAGCCGGTTGTGGCAACAGAGATATCTAGATACCTGGGCCGGAACGGTGATTTGAACAGGTTTGTTTACGCGAGCCGCGTGAGGTCGATCATGGATAGGGTAACTTAGGGTAGGAAGCCAGCCCCCAGATTCTGGCCTGCTCGGCATAAAAAGCCCTGGCGGGAGGAAACACTGGCTGCGGATGGGTGTCATTATTATTATTATTATTATTATTATTATTGACCAACTGACAACCAGCGAAAAGGCAGCGAGAGGAGAGTGCTGCTTGGCGAGTTGGCATGCGGGACTCGTATCTGCTGCCCCACCATCCGACCCCGCGTTGTTCTCGTCTCGTCTCGTCCGTGCAGCGTTCACCCATTATTATTATTATTATTAGTATTATATTGTTGCGGGGAGCCAACAGCGAGACAGCATCAGGGTTGGGGGGGGTTGGGGGGAAATATCCAGTTTGTCTCACTCCACGTGATGGTTGTTGTTGGTACGTACGCAGTAGGTAAGTTAATAATACCCAGGCAGGTAATGGACGTTGGAGAGAGAGAGAGAGAGAGAGAGAGAGAGAGAGAGAGAGAGAGAGAGACAGGGCTTGTGTGCCCTCAGTCTCATTACAGATAGACAGACAGAATGTTCAAGAATCCAGTCCATCGGGAAGTAAACAAGAAAAATGGAGCCAACTAACTCCCTGCAAGTCTGTGACATCGCAGCAAAGCCCAGATATTCCATTGTCCATCCATCCATTCACTCCCCCGTTGCCCTCTCAGGCGCAGAAACCACGCACTTCAGCGCTAAGTCAGTTTGAAACCGAACCGGCGGTAGTTCACAAGGTAATTGAACCAAAGAGAATGCAAGGACTGGCAAACCCCGCAGCCTGGGGGTTCTTGTATTCTCATCTCAAGCAAGACTGCCGCTCCCCTCTCCTGTAAAGGGATATATCTGTCTGACTTTAAAGGTTGAAGCGCAATATTACCCGAAAAGGATAGGGGAGAGAGACAAGTCAAACCAACCCCCCCCATGTTTAGTAATGCGTGAGAATGTGAGATGAGACGGAGACAATAATAAGTTAATAATAATGTTAATAATGGCAGGGTGTTAACAACATGCGAGGAATGTGCGACAGACAGGGACAGGGACACATGCTACCTACTACTACGCAGTACATCCGTCTCTTCTCCCCTCACTGGCTGGTTATTTTTGTTTGATTTTGATGACACTCTTCTGTTCTTGTTTTTGAGGCCCCGGCCGGGGGGGATTTGTATCCCAGTTGAGTTGGTTCCGTTCCGTTGACAACACATCAGACAATCCAAACTGTCGTAGTTTACTAGCACTGTTTAGTAGTTAACTAAACTGCCCTTAGTTTAGGTAGTTAGTTCCAGTTTGTTGGCGAGCTCGCTTTTCCCCAATTGCTCATACGCTTACGCTGTAGTGTTGACGTTGGGATTGCGAGTTCTGCGCCTTATCGGAACCGGACGACGACATCGTGTTTTGTTGTGCTCACTGGACTCCTAACTAGTTATGCAGAGAGGCTTTTTTTTTCCTTTTCCTTTTTCCTTTTTTGCTGATGGATGATTCCCTTGTCTTGTTGCGGACTAAGTTACATCGTTAGCCGGGAAGATCTCCATCTTGTCCGTCATGCTGTCGATGCCCATCACCCGCCGTCCCGCGGAGGGTTGCTGCAGGCGGAGTCTTCGGCTCTCTCTATGTGCTGTGCTGTGTGGGGGCATTGTGGCCTGACTCTGGTCCTGGAGATTCTCTACGGTGAACATGGATATATTTCTATCCGTCATGAGGAAGTGTGTAACACTGTTGAGTTGCCCCAAGTATTTATTTATTAATTTCTGTAATTTTTTGAGAAGACCCCCCAAAAAAAAGAAAGGAAAAAAAAAAAAGAAAAGAAAAGAAAAAAAAGAAAAGAAAAGAAGAAAAAGAAAAAACCCCTTCCTTGTGCGTTGACGTGTTTTATGTCATTAACCGTTGTCCTTCTTACTCGATCCGGCACAGCCTTTTCAACGAGTGGTTTTTTTTTTCACTCGGTTCCATATCTCCAGATCTCACCTGAACATTTGTATTATTTCTTTTTCCTGAGATGCGATTTGTTGGAATAGATAGCTATCCTGGTTTCCCTCAATCTGCTTGGCTGATCTACCTTCCCTCCAGCAAACTTTAGATGTGACGAAAATAACCACACAGGAAGAAGAACATACTCACATCCATCCCATGAGCGAACAAGAGGAGAGAAAGCAAAAGCAGAACCTTTGGCCCAGAAATGGACAGGTATTTGCCAAAGATTTTGCATGGCAACACCAAACCCAGCAGCTCCACAGCCAGGGTACATTATTATCTGCGCAACAAGCAGAACAGAGGAGAGAGATGATACGCGCTGACTGGGACAAATGAGGGAATCCCTTCAACTAAATATTCCGGGGCACTGCTTGTGTGGGTTTCACAAACAAAAGGGCGCCTTTTGGCCTATTGTTTTTGTTTTCGTTTCAACCCTTTTTTTGTGAGGCAGGAGACGAGAGGAAACCGGCTACCCCCCTTAAAAAAAACGTGTTTTTGTTCATTTCAAGCTTCTTTTTTTTTCGATAGATCGTCGGGTGACACTGTAGCCGAGATCAATATGTTGTATACGTGACTAGAAGTAGTAGTAATAAAGTTCTCGGAATACCTGGAAATGCCCCCTCCCGTTTGAAATAGAATTTCTGGCTTGCCCACTCTGAATCTCGGGTCGAACCGCGGGATCACATCCGCTGACGGAGGCGGCGGTTCTTTTTTGGGGAACCTTTGAACTTTCTTGAAATTTTTTTTTTGAATTTTACCTTAGCGGGTTGTATCCACGGATTCAACCAGTCTTATTTCTTTTTCCTTGCTGAACCTTTTTTATCGCTCAGGAGAACTTGATAAGTTGGCACAAGTTAACGAGAAGATTTAGTTAGCAGTAGTTAGAGAAAGCCAGCGGGGAATCCATAGCGGGTTCATGATATCCACAGAGACAGAGATAGTTTAGTTAGCTAGCTGCCAAAGACATACTGCGTAATCTTACCAAAGAGAGGAAGTCTGGGAAAAGCAAAAGCGCCCACTCAATAATAGGCCCGGATGATGCTGGTGCTGTGGGTTTTTGATAACTCGTGATCTGGCTGGCGGACCGCGCTGCTGATTCCGGCGATGGACCGAGCTTATCGCTGGCGATATGCAGCCGTCGAGTGGCAATTAGCGCCCTCGCTCAAGGACCAACACTCCAGGCTTAGGTTCGTGCAGTGCTTTTGCCCCGGTTCTGCCCCCAGCCTCACGCGCGACCGCAGGCGTGGGCATACGATTGCAAAAGGCGTGTACAGAAGCTGGTGGCTGTCCAGTGCGTCAAGACCGGCAAGTTGACGGAGCTGCGTGATGTACCCTGGCGCAGAGAACTGGCTGGGAGGGTACAGACTTGTACAGCGGCATGCAGCTTGCAGGCGGGCGGGCAGGGCGTGGCCCCAAGAAAGGGTAGCGCGGGAGTGAGTGGTGCGAGCGAGGGAGTTGGCTGGGGACTGGGCGCTGCAGCCACGGCCCAAGCTCCGGCGGACACTGCCCAACCAGCGTCGGGGCTGGCTCACCGCTGCTTTGGCTCCCCAGCGTCCCCACACTCGCCCGCCGGCAGGAACAGCACAAGTAAAGCACACGGCCCCCCAGCCCTGCCGCACCCGCTCGCCTCAACGGACTTTCGCCTCTCCTCTCCTCACCACTCACGCCTTCTTCTTCCTCTCCTCCTCCTCCTCCTCCTCCTCCTCTCCGAGTATCGTATCTCCACCTCCACCTCCACCTTTCCACCTCCTGGCACAATCTCTCCTCTCCTCTCTTCCCCCTTCCCCTCCCCTCCCCGACTCTCTCATTACGCAAGTAATCCGCTGTGGGAACCTATAGAAACTCCTCCACCTTCCCGCTTATCTATGCTACAACCACGATTACAATGGGTGATGTAGATCTAACCAACGATGGCATCGTCAGCCTCGACTATGATTCTCGAGGCTACATCTCTGCTCCCACCTGGTCCGTAGCAGTGGAGCATCGCCCGACCCAGCACCACCAGCACCACCAGCACCACCATCAACACCAGCAGCAGCAGCAGCAGCATCAGCATTCGCAGCACCACCACCACCACCAACGAGCCGATGGTAGGGGGGATATCTCACCCCTACAAACTAACAGTCACGATTTCAACGCCACTGTAGCGCACGACCACGATCTCATCAGCGACTGGGAATTCCACAATATACAACCCCACCACCTCCCGTATTCTCAAGCTGAGACCTCGTCTGCTCCCCAATTCACCTCCAGCTACTCGATCCCACTCCAGGCTTCTCCAATCGATCTCATGCCAGCTGCTACCCAGGCTCAGCTGGGTCCAAGTCTACTTGACGGGCCCTATCACGTTCCTCTGTCTGCACCGCCAGTCGATATGATACCCTTCACGTTCCACGATTTCCACGCGGATCTCATGTCTTTTCCGACTATGGACGGCCTTCCAGATGTGACCTACGCTTCCCAGAGTATTCAGGGCAGTAGCTCGCCAACAGACACATATTTGGAAGTCCGCTCCTTGACCAGTTCGAGCAGTGATAATGGCTGGACAACCATCGAGAATCGCAGGTCTCTAGACTCTCCATACCACGAACATGGCATGTTCATCAACCCAAATCAGACCCTGCATAATAGGAGCCTGTCTGAGTCGTCATATTCCGATTTGGATCTCCACAACCCAAGAAACTCCTTTAGCAGCATAACAGACTTTTCTCATCCCATAAATTCTCCAAGTTCGGAATCGAATCTCGAGGCGGAGTACAATGCTATAAATCGTAGAGTGTCATGTGATCAGACCTCCCATGGTTCGTCGTCCCCGGCTGCTGTGAGCCCCGTTGGAATTGTCAGGCCCATGCCAGCCAAGAAATCTTCGTCGCCTTCCCGATCCCCGACTTCACAGGCGTCGTCCTCTCCGCCAAGTAGAAAACCATCCCGCAAAAGCCCTATCGCCGCAAAGACCGCAGAAACGAAAGTGCGAAAGCAATCTCAGTCTGGAAAGCCCGAAACTGAGAAACGTGTGGGGAAGCGAAAGGGCCCGCTTAAGCCTGATCAGCGGAAACAAGCTAGTGAAATACGAAAATTAAGAGCTTGTCTGCGATGCAAGTTCCTCAAGAAGACTGTACGTTTAATAATATGAAGGAAAAAAAAAAAAAAAAAAAAAAAAAAAAAAAAAAAAGAGATCCCACTCCCCTCCCACACCTTCTTTCATTCGTATTTCAGATATCTTCTAACATTGTAAATAGTGTGACAAAGGAGAGCCTTGTGCGGGTTGTCAGCCATCACACGCTAGGCTTTGGCAAGTTCCTTGCACTCGCATTGACATCAAAGAAATCGGCTACTTCATGAAAGATTGGAAGGCCGATTATGAGCGTCACGTTACTTTAGCCTTCTCAGTGGGGAACATCAAGGGGTTCTCTGATGTTGAGAGAATACTCTTCATCACTCATGGATATGGTCAAGTGATTCCTGTCACCGCACGCGAAGTTTATGTTCGCGATGAAGAGTGCTTCAACATCGATTGGGTGGAATCTATGCAGCGCGATCCTAACAGCTTCGAGCTCGCAACCGCGAAATTGTCGGCGGGCATGGAAGGGATCACCCCCGCAATGCTTTCGGATTACCTTGACAAACATATTGACAGTGACGGGAGCTTCGAGAATTTCGTGGATGACTACTTCACCGGCACCCCATTCTTGACCCAGATGCTCAAGAGTACATTCCGGTATTACTCTCGAACTAAGCTTCCAGTTATCCGGAAAGCACTGAAGCTCATCCTAGCCTACAACCTTACGCTACATGTTACCATGGTCGAAGGAGTTGGTGAGCTGGAGGATTTCATTGGCAAGATCGATGATGCAACGTCAAGGTACAATGGAAAAATCATGGCACCAGTCATGATAAATTTCCAGATCAAGTGCGGCTTGGCTACCATGTGGCGAGAATTGCAAAAGGACGTGCTTGAGGAACTGTCTGCTCTCTACTCCAGTGTTTACAGCGGTGACAAACTTAAAAACTGGCCAACCATTTTCCTCCTCGCGTCTATACTGCTTGCTGTGTGGGAAGAGATGCAGTTTGACTGCCATTATCGGGTTCCTGTAAGATTGACTTCTTCTATATTAATATTTTTCTCCTTCGAGCTGCCTTAGACTAACCTGATATAATTAGGATGCTGCGGCGGTTGACAAATTCTGCACTGATATGGAAACAACCCCCGTCGGTGTCATCGTCGGCCTCTTCCAAGCGATTTCCCAGAAACTACCAGCATTCACCGAATGGGATTCTCAAAAACACCACCACCTCCTAGGCTCGAATGTTGACGTCTGTGACACCATGACGGAAGTTCGTCAGCATGTTACTCAATACGGTAAGTTTCAAGAGGCGTTCAGTATTTCCTCCGTACATGTTAACCCCTTTACATGCCCGAAAAGAAATCCAAAAAACACAATCTAACAAATTAAACCCTGCAGAATCCTATCTTCGAACCCGCAGCAAGTCGAAATTCGACCGCAACGATTTCGATTGTTTATCAAATAAATTTGTCTCTAGACTTGTTATTCGCGCGAACTAGAAACGGGACATGCCCTTCCATACCCCGATCTTTCTTTAGCGAACTATGACCTCCCAGGACTTTTTGTTTGATGATGTAGTCTGCAATTTTTGGTTTTAACGGCCTTCCATCCAAGCGAGCGCGAAACAAAAGTACAATTTACGAAAACAATACATAGCATCTGCTACGACCGGTATGAGATATATGTTCCATGATTTCCATGAACGAATGAGGCAAATGAGATACAACCACGCTCAACACGGCTCCGCATGAACCCTTTTTGGCTGGACCTTACACTCTTTTGACTACCAACTTTTCCTTTTTGTTATGCTTACCATCTGTTTTTGGCATATCAGTGTCAAACATTTTGTGTGATATTTTTTTTGTGAGATTATCATTTTTTCTTTTGGTTTTTTCCTAAAACTTAACCTCGATGTTTTGGGAAACAAGAATTCCTTTATTTTTCTTAAGTGATATATACCTTTTATTTATGTTTTTGATATTTAATCTTTTTCTGCTTGATTCTTGATTCTTGAATTTTTTTTTTTTTTTTTTTTTTGAGAACATTTACCTGCATAGTACTGGTTCCCCCCCTCTTTCTTTAAATCCGAGTCGCCTCTTTTTGTGCTTGCGCAAAATGACGAGAGAAATAAAGAAACTAGAAAAGCGAAGAAATAAGATAAAACAACACGACGGCGACGGCGACGGCGACGATGATGAAAATTACGGAAGAAAGGGAAAAAAATACGCTGCGTTTATAACAGCGGTCTTTTGATCCGTTATATCGCCTTTCAAGCTCTGCCTATTCTAGTTTGTACTTTTCATTTTGGCCATGTTTTTTATTTTCATTTCTGATACTGATGATCGCAATCTTCTACTCTACGCGTTCCTCACATTGCTGCACTTTTGTTAGTTTAGTTGATCTTTTTCTTTTCTTTTCTTTTCTCTTTCCTCCTTACCTTTCTGAGTAATATCGTACCCGAGCTATTGTCATTCGCCGCTGTATACCCTTTCTGTCCAATTATTCTGGAAGAAAGGAGGTTTGGGTGGCGGAACTTGCCTCTTGCCTGGTAAAGCGTAGGGGGACCTTGCGTGGGGGTGTACGGGGTACCCCGTCTTAAACCTCTTCACAACCCCTATCTATATATTTTTACTTGATCCTTTTTTATGCCCTCCGTTTTGAATAAACAAGACATATAACAATGAAATAAATGAAATTATATCCAGAAATATAATCTTGGTCAAAAATGGGGTGATGATCAGTTGCTTTCCAGGGGATACTGTGCTACATATATCTCCTCACTACGGAGGATCCTCTCAAAAGTTTTTGATTAGCACTAAGAATTTAAGGTGTAACTTTGTTACAGGCATAAAATATTCCCATTCCCTGTCTTAGCCAGAGTTCTAAGGGAGGCTAATGTCTGTGTCACCTGAATAACTAGCTATAGCTTAACTAAAGCTAGCCTAAATCCCAAGGGCTTGAGAATAGAATGGTACCAGTATTACAGCTTAAATTCTTAGCGAGGGTCCTCCGTAGAGTACTAGTAATTTGAACCTCTTACGCTCTTGTCCTCTGTCCACCCGTTCTTGTTTCTCATATTTTATTTAATAGGTTAGGGCCTGTGGAGGAGGGAAGGGAGTTTGTTGCCACACCGCCCGTCCTGCATTCATCATTGTCATATCTGCTTGCCGTATGCTGTGGTTCTCCGGCGGATCTCCAGCGGATCAGGAACCAACAACCAGAGTTTTTGAACCATTGATCCATCTGTAGGAAATTAAAGAGGCTTGGGATATAAATTGTACAGTACAAATGAAGTTCACCCCCTTTTTATTTTAAAAATAATAATAAATCTCCGTATCGTTCCATCACGTTCCATCAGTCTGTCATATATAAGGTTATTTTGTCGTCCTCTACCGCAAACGAATCCCAGCACCACTCAAATCTCACAAGAAACCATACGGCATACCATACTACATACCCCCTGCAGACAAAATAAAGGAAAAAAAAAAAAAAAAAAAAAAAATGAAGCTCCCCCTCCTCCTCGCTCTCGCCGCACTCGCACCCCTTGCATGGGCCACCCCCGCAAGCAGCGCACACCCAAGAGGGTTACAAGGACCACCAGGACCAGGACCAGAACCAGAACCAGAACCAGAACCAGGACCAGAACCAGAACCAATGCCAGACCCAACAGTGTCAGAACCATACGCCCAATCAGCACCACGCACCACGGGGCTCTCTCTTCTTGTGGGGGTGAAATATTGCGCGCTCACTTTCTACTGCACGACTCATAAACAGTGCGCGGAGCAACCAGACTGCAGGGAGAAAGCCCACTATGACCCGACCCGAATCTATTGCGGGCGCCTCTTCTATCCCCATCAATGCGTTGTGCGCGGATCTCCAGATCCCCATCCCATCACAAGATTTGATGGTTTGGCGCCTGCTCCTACTTCTTCTTCTTCTTCTGCGCCTGAATTTGCTTATACTGCTGCTCCTCGGAGGGCGTGAATATGAACAATAGTGATTGGTGTCGATAGCGATGGCGATGGTGATCATGAGGATGAGGGTGATCGTGATGATGAATAATACTCCATTCGTTCTGCGCTTGTGATTTTTCAGTATATAGACTGAGAGATGGGGGATGGTGGTTGGTTCGAATCTGATTTTTTTTTTTTTTCTTCTTTTCCTCTCGTTACCCTTGAGACCCCACTGTGTATGTAATTTTTTAGCTCTTGCTATTTAGCTTAAAGTTTTTATATTAAAGTTTTAATCCGTCTACCCAGGTCCCCTCAAATGCATCTTGAGTCGATACAAGCATGGTTGGCTCACTATCGCTTTTTCCCCGCCCATGCCCGAGAAAGCGCTTGCTCTGCTTGGTTTTGAGGAAGAAGATTATACCCGCTTGAGATAGTATGGTATAGAAAGATGTCTTTTGAGATGTATTAAGGAGCCGGTGTATATTTCTTCCGTCAGTCGGTGGTCAAATCTGTAGATATATATATATATATATAACGCCCCCAGAGAGGCAGAGGGGCGGGCAGACAGCACGTAACACTAGTGGGTAGGTAGGCAGGCAGGCAGGTAGACGAAGAGCGAGTAAGTAAATCTTCAATCCTCAAGCCGGTTTTTAATGTGAGCAGGACTACGAGCAGTCTAACAGGCCCGAGGGGAGAGGGCAGCGGGCAGGGTGGCAGAGAGAGATCGCCAACTATTTTCATGAACCATGTGAGTGATCAATCACTGAGACGAGAGACCATCATCATCATCATCATCATCATCATCATCCTCTTCTCTCTGCACAAATAGTATAGGCTGTAAGTAAAAGTGCTAGTAGATAGAACATTGAGGAAAAAAATACGGCGCGTAGACTTTGACTTCAGAACGACGGTTGGTTCGGGTCGGGTCGGTTGCTTAGAGTTTCTGCCAAGGAATCCGGGGGCCCGTTCCACTGGAGCGCTTCCGCCGGTTAGAGCCGCTTACCATACTAACTACACAGTTAAACGGTCAAAACTATAAAACATGTATAATGACTGACACCCGAAGTAGAAGTATGTCCCAATGAGGGGCAACATGGATCATGTTGTTAACTTTTGATAATGTTACCAATCTGGTACTGTTGCTCCATAGATTCAACGCCTTCCATCGGGTTCATCTATAAGTTAGTTGAAACATGGCTAGAAAAAAGCTGACTGATCTCTGAAGCATGGTCAACTCCATGTCAAACCTCATCTAGAATACTCCTCTGTACATACATACACGTATAGCTTCTCGCTATCTCAAAAACACTCAATACTCAACACACACTCTTATTATAAAGGTAAGAATTATAGAGTAGCTCCTCTCTAGAATGATCAATTAACAAACACTTCTACTTTTCAAAATATAGCCAGTATTGTGTTGTGTGAAGAAATGAGTCTATTAGTGTATGTAAATGAGATTGTTCTACCCATGATCAGGGTTGATTTTCTAACCGTGTTCAACTTCTTGAGATCTTTCTAACCGATTACTTATAATAATTTAGTCTAGTTAGTGGTATATCGCAATATCATACATTTTCTATGAGAGTTTCAGGAACCCACGTTCAAATTGTAGCAGTAGCATCACATTAGTTTCCAGTAGTAATAACTAATAAAATAGACCTTGTAATAAGTTGGTAAACTAAAAGAGAAACACCTAGATTGCACAGGAGCAACATTGCTAGCAAATAAAGGGTGGGAGATGTGTTACCTGTCCATCCATGGTTGAAACCCTAACGCAACCGTGTTCTCTTCATCCACAGATGTCCCGTATGGGCTACCTCTTCCTTGCACCGGATGGAATTCCCCATGTGGGGAACGTGGTGGGCTATGACGTGCTCAAAGCTATAGGCATGGCGTGGGGGGACAGCTGAACGCTTGTTTACTCTTCCCATCAAAAGACATCACACATAGCTGGATAGAACATAGAAGAGGCCCCTTGTATAAGGTTTTGTTTCACCTTTTTCTTCCTACCTTGGGGTATCCGGGAGAAGCCTAAAGGGCATGGGAGCGTGGCATGCACATGGCCGGAACTAACTCGAGTTGATTTATAAAAACGGGGCCTCGCGAGTCTTGAATCTTCTCTCGTTCATGCTTCTCAAAGGCCTTCGAAGAAGAGAAGAAACAAACGGAGCATTCGGAAACCATCGATTGATCTCTGCTTGCTCTCCCCCTTCAATGCGTCCAATCTTCAACCATGAAGCTTCAGGCTTTGCTTTCGCTCTGCTTCCTTGGTGCAGTCACCGCCGTTCAGTCAGCTAAAGTGGTATGTTGTGTTTTGGTTTATGCCCACCTTGCTCAAAGCCCGCGCGAGGAAAAAAAAGAACTCGATAAAAAAATTCTCTTCCTCCCAACCCGGGCGTTGACGTTTGACAACGTCAACAGCAGGGGCGGAACTCAATCCCAACTCCGCGGTCCTGAAGTGAACTAGGGACTTTCATACTTCAAAAGGAACTCAGGCAAGATTAATCTGATTAATCTGATGCACAGGATGTGTACGACGTTCTCCGGAACCTAACGAGCGATCCCCTAGGATTTATACATCTGGGTGACGATGGGGTCGCGCGCTCTTTCAGCCCAAATGGCACAGTGATTGACGCCGTAGGGCTAGACACTGAGCTGCTCATGAAAGCTGCTCAGGACTATAAAGATCCAAGCAAGCGGAAACACTTGACAGATCTTTGGACGGGCGTTGACGGCACCAATGTCACTCATCGTGATCGCTATTCACCCCGCAAGGATTTGCTTCCTACCCTCCTTACGGATAGCAGGTTGGGAAAGGAACTTAGGGAAAAAGACGAGGAACAGAGGGCCAAGTATGGGCAGTCGCCGAATAAAAGGGGCGGTGTTCTCGATCCCAATGTCAATTGCTTTGACATAGTCTGTTACACTCAATTAACCTGCGTGTGGTTACAATGCCGCGACTGTGTAGTTTATGACCAATTCCGGGGCACCAATTGCATATAAAAGCGAGGGGTTTTGGAAGAGCAGAGGGTTCCATACCGGAAGAACGTAGGGTTATTACACGACCGGATTATGGTTGTTCAACCATTTCAATCGGCGACACGGTCGCTGAGCTGTAACTTAATAAGGCCCCAGGTAGGAAGCAGCAAACTCAGGAAGCAGAAAACTTGACCTCGCTAAGTGCGCCACTTGACCTCGTTATGTAAGCTGACCACAAATGTGGCCTGTGCCACTACCTGACCTTGCTCAATACATCTTTGTAATTTGAAACCACTCTTTCTTTCTTAATTATTTATCATCAATTCTATAATCAATTCTATAATCAATTCTTAATTGATTATAAAACAATTCTTCTCTCATTATAACTTTTATATATGAAGAAGACTTTACTAATTTTATTAATAATTAATTTAATACTGAAATTATTCTTGAATTTAATAATAAAGTAAGTATTTATATAATTTATACTAAATTAATTATTAACTGATTTTCAATCAATTATTACTTACTTAAATATATAGATTGAATTTATTTTTATTACTATAATTAATTAATAATTAATTCAGAATTAATATAATATAATAAAACTGAAGTAATAACTGATCAGTAGTATTATATAGAGATAGTTATTTAAAAAGCTATATAAGTAAGCTTAACTATCTTACTTGAATAGTGAGCTTATAAGCTACAGAGTTATTATAAGAATATCACAGATATAATACTTAGTATACTAAGAAAATTATATAAGAAATACAGAAAATTTTATATATATTTTAGTAGAAGAAAATAAATCACTAATCTCTTTAATTAAGAGTCAGTATCTAGCTATTCTATATAAATAATAAATGAATACTTCTCTTTTATTCTATAAGTAAGAATAGCTGAAGTAATATCTCAGTAATATCTTACTACTATAAAAGAGTAATCTGCTGATCTTATATAAAAATAAGATTTTTATATTTATTAATTAAACCTTTCTATATTATATCTGAATAATATTATAGAGTGATTAAAAACTAATTTAAATAATCTATAAAATAAATGAAATTATCTGTAGAGAAGTAATAAGCTGTATAAAATTATAATAAAATTTTAATATAATTAGAGATATGATAATATTCTTCTCTTTAAGAGTATAGTTCTAATACTCTTAAAATTACTAAATTAGAACTTATCTTTATTATATAGTAATTGTCGGATTTCTCTCTCTACGGGCCGACTGCTTTCATCTAAGCAAGGTGTACATCAATCACTTGATAAACACCTATACATATAAAAGACCGTATAATAGATAGATCTTAATAATACAATCAACTATTATTATTATATCATCTTTATCAGATTATGTCTCTTTTGTATATAAGAATTTACTCTAATTTGATATATTCTTACACTTCATACTCTTAAATTAAAGATCTAATTAAATTCTGAAATGCTGTATTAATGATTCTACAGCTGCTCATCACAGATTGAAAAGAATTATTGATTTGAAAATCAATTAATCTGCTACAGACTTTCATAACAAGTCTGCAAGCAATCTCTGTGTTCTCACATAAATAGAAGATATTCAATACAGTCAACATGTACATATAATACCTCTGAACAAGAGCTGCTTGAGCTGCAATCATCATCTCAAACAGCTCAGAAAGTTCAAACTGAAATGAATACAGAATATAATATAAGTTTAAGAGAGAGAGAAGATCTCTTCTTAACAGAATACTCTACACTCACTTAAGATAGCTCTGCTGATGAGATTACTGAAATGTTAATATACTTCACTTATCTATAAGAGACAGAGTTCTCAGAAGCAGATGCAGTAAAAATCACTCATAAACAATAATTATAGAAGTAGAGAATAAATCTCAATCTCATTACAACTGTAAACTCAGTTACTAGAACAGATAAGTTTCATGAATTCAAGAATGATTACAGTTATGTTGAAATGAAGATTATTATAAAGCTCTCAGAGCTGAAAGACTATAATATCTGATACTGTGAAATTGAATTAAAAGCAGTTTTAATTAATGTATTTCTCATTCTTACAGATAAAGAGCTTTCTCTGAATACTCAGCTTATAAGTAATGATTTAAAAATCTGACAATATAAAGAAAGTCAATTATAAAAGTGTATATGAAACTCAATAAAGACTGAGCTGTAAACACTTATTTAATTCAAACTCAATCAGGCTGATGATAATAATATTATTAGAATGAAATGAACTGCTGCACTATAATAAGCAGTTGAATTGAAATATCAAATGCACTGAGCAGATCTTCAATTTAAATTATATAACAAGATTGTCACTATATTAATTACTAATTATGAAAATGATATTACACTGTATGTAAAGCACTGACAGGTGATAATAAATAATATTAACACACATAGCTAATCAATATTCAAAGACTTTCTCACTCAATGATTTATACATGATCTGAAGACTTATACACAATCATTCATTCAAATCTATCTTAAGAATCTTTATCAAGGAATTTTAAAGATATCTGTCTCTGAGATCAATCTTGATAATCTCATTGATAATCTTGTCTGCTATAAGACAGTTATCAGATCAAATGACAACAAAAAGAAAATATCAGCGAAAGAAGCTGAAAAGAAAAAGAAAAAGAAGAAGAACAAGAATGATGATGATAAAGCAGAACTCACTGAGATAATCAAGCTCAAATCACAGTAAACTAATCATGACAGAGAAAGAAATACATCTAATCTTCACTGTGAAAACACATTTAATACAGTGATAAAGTGTAAGTATCGTATCTGCTACAGACATAATAAGACTGATTACTTTCTTAAGAACTGAAAAGATTAATTATCAGAATATCAAAGAATCAATTATTCTGTGATTAAATACTATACTGAAAAGATCTTAATATTCTCTATCAGTGAAAAGAACTTCAGTTTTACATCTACTATGAAAGCTCTATCTGTTACTACAGTCTGTAGAGATTCTCTATAATACTTAAACACTGCAGCTTTCTACACTATGATATCTGATAGAAGTGTCTTCAAATACATATACACTTCAGATGACAGAGAAGAACTTAACTCTGCAGAAGAAATCAATAATAAGCTAATCACATCTACTGACATTGATGAGATCTGCATTTATATAAATGAAATAAAATTAAATCTGCAGAATATTTACTACTCATCAGCAGTCTTCTACAATCTCTTAAGCTTCAGTCAATTTATTGATGAAGAATTTGACTTTGAACTTCTCTGAGATAAGAATGATCACATCATTGATTTTGAAATAATTGATGAATATGATTAACACTTCTACACTGTGGAAACAAATCATCATATCTATCTATTCACAGTATTTATAAAGTCACTCTAGCTGCAGTTACACAGGTATTTCTGAATTATAATAATACACTCTTTGCATAGTATGTTTATCTAGAACATCTGAATATCACTGATATTCAATGACTGATAAAAGACTTCATCTCTGACATTAAAATCAAGAGAGGCTCTGAAATATCATTCTATGAGACCTGTAAACTCATGAAAGCTAAGAAGAAGATCTCACAGATCTCTATGATAAGAAAAAACACTCATGACATCTGTCTGCACTTTGATATTACAGGAGACAGTAAATTCTTCATCATTCTTGATAATTTTTCTTCATCTCTTCAAGGCTACAGATACCTACTTCTTATAGTAGATGATATCACATGTTATAAGACTGCTTATTTTCTCAAGAACAAAGACTAGCTGCTAAATGTTGTTGACTTTCATCTTAAACATCTCTAAAATCTGAATATAAAAGTTGTATTTGTGCATTCTGACAGAGCTGCTGAAATAAGTGATTAACAGATGCAAGCAGTTCTCATCAAATTCAGTGTTAAATGAGAGTTAATAGAACTCTATACTCTCAATTAAGATGATGTTGCAGAACAGTTCATTCAAACTGTTATCTCAAAAGCTCACACTATAATGATACAAGCAGGCCTATCAGTCAAGCTATGAGCAGAGGCTGTGTTTACAGCAATACTATATATTAACATAGTCTCAATGAGCATCTTTTTATTCTCAGATGCAATTCAACTGAAGAATCAGATTCTGCTAATTCTCTATAAAGTATGAGAAGACAGACTGTTCTTACACAGCAGTGACTTACAGATCATTGAATCATCAGTTTACATTCTCAAAGAAGATCTCTGAAAAGATTATAACAAGTTTGCTGAACACAGTAAATAAATAATTCTAATTAAATATTACAGTGAAATGATATATAGAATATAGAATTCTGTGAAGAATGAAGTCATTATATTCAGCAGTGTGAAATTCAATGAGAATGTCACACTATCACAGCTAGTGAGCTCAGCACTTAATAATTACAACACAATTGATATATCTTACACACTGACTACAGAAATACTCATCTGTAATGATTATCTTCATACTAATCTGATACTGATCTCTGCATCTCTGCAGAAAGAGTTTCTCTCTGTATAGATATCAGTTAAGAACACTTCTCTCTCATTCACTGCTACAGTCATGAGCTGCAAAGTCAGACATCTCTGAAAGAAAGTTAATAAGAAGTCATCTACAATCTCAAAAAGATGCAGAAGATCTTGAAAAAATAATACAACTTTCAATCTTATTACTCTGAAGATATTCAATGTCATTGAATTTCAGCTCTATTACACATTTAAGATCTGTGCTGCACACTGAGGCTCTGAGACTGTTATAGAGATTAAAGTTTTATAAATATATAAGAAGATAATTACATCTTTGCAAAAGAATGCTTAAACAGCTGTTATAAAGAAAGAGCTTAACTCTGTAGCTGAGTATAAAATTTTCAAGATTATGAACAAGTTAACTGCTAAAACTCAGATTCTTGATAATTACTGAGTTTATTATATCAAAATCAATACAAATGACAGTATATTATTCTACAAGATAAGATGAGTTATTCAGAATTTTCATTAATAAAAGAGTATTAATTTCAATGATATCTATGTCTCTGTTATCTCTGCTTCTGTTATCTGTGCTATACTTA